CTTTCTTTATGCTTTCTGGCCCCCATTGAAATACTATGAACAGCCCTCAGGCATATTCTTATGAATCAACATGATATTTGATACCACTTTCCCTTCCTCTTTTCAGATATGACTCATCACTCTTGGTGTAATCCCCAAGGACCAGAAGCTCTACTTTAAAGTAAGGAAACAAAAGAAGCACCTTCAATTCAAGCTGGCTTACTAGAGAACTCTAATGGTTATTATTCACTAACTTCTTAAATAAACATTTTAACCTGAGCACTACAAGAGTCCTCTCTTCAACTTTCCCTGGGGAAACTAATGTAGAAAAGGTGAAGAGGTAACCTCTCTGGTAAGTCTTAGACTTGAAGTTTATCAACAGTTCTACTTAACCACATCTCTAGGATGCTATTGGGTTTTCGCTTTGGGAGCATCAAACTTTTTTGTTTGGGATTTTGGACATCTTCCCTCCAGATCCTTCTGATAATGCATACAAAAAGTAACAGAGCTGAGCTATTCCTCAAGCCTTTCTAATTTAAAACTTGACCCCTTTTCTGCTGTGTGATAACTACTACCCTGTTCCCAGTCTTTCTGAGACTGAAAAAGTAGTGTGGAGCTCAATTTGATACAGAAATCTTAAATCTAGACAATCCCATGGCTTTTCAAACAATATTTAAATAAGAAGTATAAAACGTGACATACAAAGTAAAATTCTACTTAGTTTTTAACATGAAAATTAAATGAAAAGTTCAAATTCCTTTACTTTTCAAAATCCTAGAAATATCTAGTCCTAAGAGGAATGTTTCTTGGTTTAGAAGAAAATAGTTGAAGTTAAGCATAATCCCTTTTATGTTCCTTTAAAAAAAGTTTTTCTTTTTTTTTCAATGGACTGACAAAGTTGATACACTGTTAGACAAATTGTTTCAGCAGATGTTTCTTTTCTGAAGAAAAGAAGAGCCCAAATTTGCAACCTAGAATCTGCAAACTCAGAAGCTTAAATACTTTTAACTTGAAGAGCACCATGTGGTATGAATTAAATGTAAATATTAAAATATAATTTCTATTAGTTAAGTAAGTGGTTACATTTTACTATTAGTTCACAGAATGCTGATAACTGTTATAATATGAGGATGCAATAGTTATAGCTCATCAAAGCTTCTCAAACTTCTTTAATTTTGTTTTTTTAATCATTGTCAATAACAGCGTGGAAGAATATTAATGATCATTATTATAACAGTTAAAGAGTATTTATGATGTAGGAGACACAACTATCCTATGCAGTGAAGACTCTTAAAAAGCTCATTTTAAAAATAGCTCAGAAAGTTTAAGTTACTTACCTAAGTGACAAACCAAAAATAAAGGAGCAGGTAATACATACATTTAGGTTTTACAGACCATCTACTATGTAGTAGTTACTCTACTGTGCAGGGCAAAACAGTCTAATGTAATATGTAAATTAGTGAGCATGGCTTGTTACCCCCAAAAAACTATATTTGTGAAATCTGAAATTCAAGGGCTGGAGCGATAGCACAGCGGTAGGGCGTTTGCCTTGCACGCAGCCAACACTGCCAACCCGAGTTCGGTTCCTCCGCCCCTCTCGGAGAGCCCGGCAAGCTACCAAGAGTATCTCGCCTACAGGGCAGAGCCTGGCAAGCTACCCATGATGTATTCGATATGCCAAACACAGTAACAACAAAGTCTCCAATGGAGATGTTACTGGGCCCGCTCGAGCAAATCGATGAACAACGGGAGGACAGTGACAGTGAAATTCAAGTTTGATATAATTTTCATCTGTCACAAAGGATTATCCTTAGACTTTTTTCAACTATTTAAATATATGAAAATAATTTATATGTCATAGACTATACAAAGACATGTAGCAGTCTGGAGATAGCCCACAGACTAGCTTGTTGACTCCCATTCAAAGAACTCTTATTATTAAGTTATGCCAGACACTTTATCAGATAAAATTTTGTTTGGGGAAATATGATGTTCTTTACATATTCAGTTGAGTCATACAAAATTTCCAATATTAGGCTGTCTGACCCATAAAAGTGGTAATTTTATATGATTCAATATAATATTTATAAATATCTGTTCCCTGAAATAGTAACACATTTTATTAGTGCTATGAAAGCATACTAGTAACCAGGGGAACATTATTTAAGCAATTTAAGCATCAGATGTGACACATCAGATGATTTTTAAGATTCATGTAAAATCTTTTCTGTGAAAGGAATTATCCTAGCCTAGGATTACAATTACAAAAAAGATCACAAATCATTGCTTAAGTTCCTTATGACAGGTACTAAACTGCAGTAATTTATTTAACTTCCATGATGGCATGAAGAGACAAGTATTTTTATCCAGTTCAAAGTTAAGGCATTATAGGTTCTTAGAGATTGTAAACCTCCAAACTTCAGAACAAAGATAAAACCAGAAGAAACAATGAAAGACTACTCATTTTACTCACACAGCAAGGAAACTTCTGCAATCTATCAACACCACTAAGATTTTATTAGTATCAGGATGTTTTGGAATTCCACAAAATATATTCTCACAATTTTAAAACATGTTTATAGCCACAATTATATTGTTTGCTTCAAAAAGTTTTATATTGATAAGAAAGTGTTTTCTATTGATAAACCCTTACCTCATAAGATATCTATTTCTAAATAGAAGCTAAGAGGGATGAAGGAATCATGCTAAGCACAATTTTTATGAGTTAAATGATTTAAAGCATCAAGCCTTCCTTCTATTACCCATTTGGACTTATTAATAGAGTATGTAACTCTGCATATACCAACATTTTACATATATCAAGAAAATGAGCATTTGGAAAGGAGACGATAAAAATAAATAAAAATTTAACATGGAATTTTTAATTATAAGACTTTGCTTCATTTATGCTTCTCATTCTTAACCTAAAAATAAATTAATACCCTCATAAATGGCTCTTAGGAAAAACTATAAATATATAAGGAATTATAATTAATTCATCAGAGAGAGAAATATCTACAGTGGGAAAGAATTATTCTGAGTTAAAGTTACTCTAGAAAGAGGCATTATTGCTTTCTTTTTCCTTTCTTTTTATCATTTATCTTTTATTTCCTTTTATTATTTTTATCTGGGATAGCAATAAAAATAGATAGAAGATATGAATGAACACTCTTCTCTCATAATTTTCCATATTTACTTTTATATCTTTTCCCCTTGTATACCATATTGATTATTCTTAGTAACAGTGTGTAAGAACGACTGGACAATCTTATTAGATCACGATTCCTAGACTTTAAATAGATGGTTTCCAAAAAGTTCAATGAAAAAAATAGATATGATCCTATGGGCCAATATTTAAAATAAAAAGAGTTTCAGATTATCCTGAAAATAAGAATGTTAACAGGTAATGATATAGCTAGCCACAGTGGCATATATGAGGCATGCAAAGCAGTAATTCTCATTCTTTGCTGTAATGAGTGGCCTGTATATTGTAGGATATTTAGTAGCATGCTGTGTGGTATTTACAAGATGCTAAGATTACCTCCCACCTCTCTCCTGTGGCAATCACAGAATCTTTTCTAACACTATTAAATTGGGAACAATTAATAATAGGAAGAGAATAGAGATAGCATTCTCAGGTTTTAGAAACACTTTTTTAGATTAGGCAATGTGAAAAAAGGAATTTTAGCAGTTCCAAAATCATAATATTGCAGTTGAGAAGTTAAAAATGTTTTCTAATTTTTAAAATATATGCCAATTGAAGAAAGAAAATAAAAATTTGACATGTTAAAAGTAAAATGTATGGATATAGCACATCCTGTTCAATAATCACTTCATTAACACTATTCTAACAATTTTCTTTCAGAATATTGATTCACTCATTTAATACCCAAATTATTTTATCAGGTATAGATGTGTTATAGTGATTCCCCGCTACTCCCTGAAACAACTAGGGTTCATATTATAAGGTCTTAATTATACCCATGTGTCTTCTAGCTGAAAGAAAATTTGCCTAATGAGACAACAATTTGATCTGACTTGTATCTATCTCAATGATCATAATTTAAAGGAAATATATTTGTAGGAAAACCAGAGTTATGCAAGAAAAGAAATAAAATATGACATTTAAAGAAAGGATCAACAACATCACAGAACTAGGTTCCTTTGCAAAGTTGGCAGCACATATTTTCAGTATATAGATTGTAACCTGCATGACCTTCTAAGTGTGGATTCACTGGACCAGAGGGTTCCATCTAAGACTATAAAAGAAAGCCCTGAAACTTTCTTTTGTGTGGGAGAGTGATTGAACTTAAATAGCAACTCGTTTTCCTTTGAGTGGGAGAATGATTGACTTAAGCAATGACTCAGTTTCCTTTTTAAGCACTTTACATTAACAGCAACAGTGAATATTCCACTGAAGAACCTGAAAACAACTTTGGATGCTACTTTTCTTCATAAGGTAAAAGCCAACTTTTTATTTGTATCACACCTGTTAGTAAGCTACATTGAATACAAAACCCTAGTTTTGTCATTATCTTTCAAATAAATTCCTGAAGAAAATATCTGACAGAGAAGATATAGAAATTAGAGGTGTTTTTTTTTAAAGAGACAACCAAGTTATACATAAAATAAACAAGTCTTCCTTTCAAAATTAACAAATAAATGTAAAGTCCCATTTATCTATCGAAACTTGTCAAACAAGGTTTCTCCAAATAGAAATGATGATATTCACTTCCATAGAAATAATTTGGCTACTTCAGCTCCAAGCTTTTAGGTGTATGTATATTTACCACTCAGAAATCAAGGAGAAAAAAATAGCGAGAGCCTAACTCTCAGACACCAATTATTTTTAGTTCTCCTCACAGAATATTCAGCAGGAAAAAAATAAGTTTAGCATAATTTTACATAAAACCAAGCAAGTAAAATCATCACTTTAGATCCACTCCCTCAACATAAAAACATTGAAGTGATTTAAGGAAAGGTAATCAGAAGAAAGCAGCATTTTCAAATCCAAATCTTACCTGGTAAATTGAAATGGAACAACTCTCCTAAAAGTCTTTTGAGTTACACTCCTGTCCTCCAGGGAGAAAGAAATCACAGCAGCCTATACTCTTAAACTCTAAAAGAAAAATCAGGAAGCTTGATCTGTGCACATAATGACCTGCATAATGTAAGAAAGCGCTGTTTCTTGGCAACAAGAAAACAATCCTTTTCAATTAACTCACAGCAATTGGCCCACATTTGTTCTTACCCACAGAGTAAAGAACATGTTTTAAGATCCCAGAGAGTGTGGAAATGACTAACCAAGGAAGTTAAATCAGTTCATTCATTTTGAAAACATTGAATTAATAGACTGCCTATTCTAATTTCTGAACCCCTTTCTGAGTAGTCTTATTGACATAGCTGTCTTAATTCCTTACTACATATTATTTACTGTAACTCCAACTATTGCATCTGTTGTTGCAAAAACAGTGAAAAGGTGAAAGACAGTTTTAGCAAACCAGTGATTTTAATGTTATCCTAGTTTTGGTCATTTTGCATTCCATATTTTTCTTTCTACGTCACAAGAGTGAATATAATCTTAATCCTGCATGCTCATTAGGCTACATAATTCAAAATAGTTGCATGTTATATTCTCTTAACCGTTAGGGATCACCTCCACAGGCACCAGTTTTAGAGAAGTGCAACCGTGCTGCATTGATTTTATGCTCATTTAACTGGGAGAACTGATAATAATAGGATTGTAATAAAAATATTTGGATATTTGGAATGTCATGCATGTTCACGTACAATTTTGAAATTACATATCAGCCAATGTTAAATTGGGTGAATGTTGTTGCCGTCATTATTTGCCAGAGTTGGCTAAGAGTACAAATGGGTATACCTTTAACAATCAAATTTCCCCCCACATGCATAGAACTTGTCTTGCTATTACTAATGAACAACTCTTCTTAGAGAGTTTATTAATTACGTTTTCAATTTTCATTTTTTAATATTTCTTTATTGAATCACTGTGAGATAGACCCTTACAAAGCTGTTCATGGTTAGGTTTCAGATTAGACAATGTTTTAAAATATAGCTTGTTTGGGGGTATTATGCTGACACAAAGCACTTTCTTCTTGGGAATTTGAGGCAGTGTGTGAATGGTAAAATGATATATTTGGGAAAACCTGTCATCTTCAAGTCATATTCTTGAGAGTTGTGTACACTTTCCATGGATAGAACTGGCAGCAATAATTTTATGTGTTTCTTCTGTTTTGGCAGACTTATTAAACGTATTTTTTTAGTTCTTTTATCAATCAACTGGTTAGTAATATTTACATCATATGTTTATTGTGGGGCCAGAGCGATAGCTCAGGGGTAGGGCATTTGCCTTGCGCACAGCCGGCCAAGCCAAGCTGGGTTCGATTCCTCTGCCCCTCTCAGAGAGCCCGGCAAGCTACCAAGAGTAGCTTGCCTGCACGGCAAAGCCTAGCAAGCTACCCATAACGTATTCAATATGCCAAACACAGTAACAACAAGTCTCACGATGGAGACATTACTTGGTCCATCGAGCAAATCAATGAACAACGGGAGGACCGTGACCATGATGTTTATTGCGAGGATTGGTTAAACAGTGTCCAGAAGATGATAAGTACCTAAAGTTTAGCTATGTTGCTAGCGTCTTTCCTGCTATTATTCCTAAACTAAATTTTTATTATAGAGTAAATAATATGTTCATTTGTAAAGTTTATATTATAAATGTATAATTACTTCATACCACTACTACCAAAAGATTTCGGAGCTAAATAATTTTCAAGGTTATTTCTAAATTTCCAAAATCATATAATCCATTAATAAAAATTGAAAGTAATGTAAACAAAGACTTAAAGCATATAAGATAAACATTTTATATTTTATAGAATAATCTTCATTCACCATCTATTATGTCTAGTATTTAGAGTCTTTTATGTCATTTACAAATAAAAGAATATATTTTTTTATCATTTTTCTAATTAAAAAATTTTTTTATTGAATCACCATGAGTTGCAGAATTACAAAGTTGTTCCCAATTAGATTTCAGTAATAAAAAGTTTTGATACCATTGGTAGGTCTCCCACTACCAATGTCTCCAATTTCTCTCCTACCAACCCCCCAGCCCAAACCTGCCTCAATGGAAGTCACTTTTTTTTACTCTCTTTCTCTTTCTCTCTCTCTCTCTCTCTCTCTCTCTCTCTCTCTCTGTCTCTCTGTATCTGTCTGTCTGGCTCTGGCTCTGGCTTGCTCTCTTTCTCACTCTCTTTCCTTTCGGACTTTAGAATACATTTCTTTAACAAAGTGGAAAGTTTCTTTATCTTAATGAAGATTACACTCACATTAAACTCATTGACTTAAACAATTTAAGCAATGGTATTAAAAGCAGAAATTTATTAATTTTTTAATAAAATATTTGTTATACATGATATGCTGACTGAAAGATTCATAAGCTGTTCTGCTATATTCTTAAAATGGTCTCAGAATTCTTAAAAGGATCTGTTGCTTTGACTTTTGGTATTCCTTTAGATGGACTTTTAAATAGCAGCTGCAAATCCTAATATTTGAGAGGAAATGCATGCTTTTGAGTATTCAGTATAAACACTGTCTAGACAGGGTAGGCCGTAAAGACTCCATCTATCCTCTACAGCTTAAAAGGCAGGTTTTACTGTAGGTGTTGGTCAGCTCCATTAAGCAATTCCCTCAATTAAAGTGCCACACTCTCTCTAATATTATTATATATGTGTATATATGTAAATGTATGTATGTGTATATATACACACATATTGCCAAATGACCCAATCTTCTTCAGATGAATTTTATTTACTAGACAAGTAAATAGTAGTTCCTACCTGTTTGTTCTATCTTGTAGTAGTTTTGTTTGCCACAGTACCTTGAGCTGGCAAATTCTGATGCAAGGAACATGTCTCTGCAATCTAAAACTAATAGGATAATACTTATCTTAAGGTGTCAAACTCTGGAGAAAGTAACAGAAATACTCTAAAGAACATCAGTCTATTGTCTTTCTTCATAGTAGACTGGCTGTACATGAACGATGCTGCATAAGCTACTGGAAAATGAGAGCACCCTATTACAGTTTAAGTCACAGAGCCATTGCTCTCCCGTAACCCTGTCAAAACCTTCCAAATTCACAAATTCCATTTTGAACAGAATAAGGACATTGCATGAAAGAAGGCACTGATTAGCAACTTTGGGATATTTTTCTTTTTATCTAAGTTACAATGTTAAAAAATTATTTTCCATAAGCACTAGCACTGTAGCACTATCCTCCCATTGTTCATCAATTTGCTCAAGTGGACCCAGTAACGTTTCCATTGTGAGACTTGTTGTTATTGTGTTTGGCATATCGAATACGTCACAGGGAGCTTGCCAGGCTTTGCAGTGTGGGTGAGCATTTACATAAAAATATAACAAGTGCTGCATCCATAAATAGAGTCATAATCTAAATTTTATAGGCAGGATATCAGATCTCATCTGATCTATCTTAAGTGACAAAGAATGTGCAAAATATTCCATAAAATAAGATATTTAATGAGTGATAGAAGATAATATTATGATAATCTGTCTGAATAAATATTAAATTAAACAGGTAAATATTAAGGAATAGCATAGAGATGCTTAGTTATAGAATAAAGTTTACTTCTGCACAGGCACAGAAGGGCACAAGAGATCACAGGAGACTCCCTATTACTTTGGAAGTAGGTTTATATACACAGAAGTCTTTGCAGTTTAGATAATACAGAACAAAGAAAATCATTAAGAAATATAGAGAAGACACTGTTTCTTCTACCAAGGCTTGTTCCTATGTCTGGCAGAAAGCCAGGGAAGAAATCTGCTAATTCTGCAAAGTCATTTGGAGTTGCGAGTACTAATGTTTGAGTTATCTGTAAAGGAAGGTTCACAGGATGCTTTGTTCCCAAGTGTTTCTGCAAGAAGCCTTGGGAACCTAGTTCACAAACCTCTGTGGAGATGAATTATTGACCTTTAAGACTGTAGCCTGGTTAGATACCCTAACAATCAGCAGTTTCTAAAAAAATAGAAATAAACATTTAATATATTTGATTCTGTCAAAATATAAGAGTCAGGCCAATTAATTCTGAGTTCTCATTTTTGGAGCAAGATCCCAGAGATATTGATTGAATGTGGTGAGTGAGGTCAAGAAATTTGCATTTTAGTAGGGTTTACACACTGGCACAGACATATCTAGGACTTCTGTTGAGAATTTCTGATCCTGACAAATTTCTGATCCTGACAAACCCAGGTTCCGGGTGTCTGTGTGACAGAAGGAACACTTGGGCTATTGAAAAAGGAGGAAGCTTGCTAAAAGGAAGAAATGTGAGTGATCACAAGAACTAGAAAAGTGCAGCTTGGCTTTCCTGGATCAGAGAAAGGATAAAGGGTGGACAAGAAGAGAAATAAAAGCTGTAGCTGTACCTGTCATGGCTTCCTCTTTCCTATGTGCAATACTGTGGACTATGAATACAGAGGCATGCAAGTCAAAAGGACAGCCTGGCCCTTTCCCTCTTATCCAGTACTACTTTCTCTTTCTTTATCTTACTCTATTTGGCCTGTTCACTGTTTCTCAAAACATGGCTTCTTTCTCTACTTTCTTCACATGTTCCCTTAAATCTTATCTTAAGAGTTCTGCTGAGGTGTTAGAGAGATAATACAAGGATAAGGCATTTGCTTTGCAAGAAGCGGTCTCAGGTTTGATTCCCAGTGCCACGTATTATTTGCCAAACACAGAACAGCAGGGTGTAACCCAAAATTTTAAAAACAAAAAAAAGTTCTGCTCTGATCAAACCTCTAGCTAGCCTTGCCAACCTTACTGGTAACTTCCTATTTACTTCCTGTTTTATTTTTCTCTGTATTATTTTTTTAAACTACACTCACATTTTAATATTGCTCATTTTCTGTCTCCTTCACCTATACCTTAGCCTGAAATATAAACTCTGGGATGGTAGGGAATTTTTTTATATATGTTTTTTACTGCTATACCCCCAGTACACCCCAAGGGACCTAGCTCTGGCAGCC